CAAGACTTCTAGTGACCCCAAGAAGACCAAGCATCGCTATCCCCACCCCCATCAACAACTGCTCACTCCCCCCCCAACAGAGCCTTGTCCTCAGGTGACCCAGGTGACAGGAAGGTTTGAAGGGATCCCTGTTACCCCATTTGGAACGACGACATTAGCGGCTCCCAGTCAATGACCGCCGGGTGCCAAGAGCGGTGCTAAGTGCCTTAAATGTGTAATCGGACTCAGTCTCCACAACAACCCCGGAAGCAGGGAATATTTTCATTTTACAGCGGAGGAAACGGAGGGGTGGGAATCTAAGTCCCTTAGCCAAGCCCACACCCAGTGGGGGTTCCAAACCCGGCTGCCTGCCTGCCTCTCTGGCCCGCCCTGGTGGCTGCAGAGTCGCCCTTGGTGTTGCCAGTTAAGTTCCCCCGAGCTCCTCACCCCAGGCTCCCTTTCCCCGGCCTGGGCCTCAGTCGTGCCATCTGTGAAATGGGAAACCTGAGGGATGGACGACACCAGCAGCAGCTCCCACAGGCTGAGCCCGGAGCTGTGCCAGGCTCTGCCTTCAACACCTCCCAAGGATTTATTAGCAGATGGTTTCTCTCGGTGGCGGCGGTCAGCCTGGGCTGGGATCCCGGCTCTCCTGCTTCCTGGCAGCCTGACTTTGGGCAAGAGGCTTCACCCCTCAGAGTCTCGTGTCCAAAGCTGGAAGGCGGATGGAAGAGCCGTACAGGACTCCTGCCTGCTCAGTTTGATTGTGAAAACGTCGAGCTGACGCGGGGACCACGGTTGGCTCGGTACCCAACGCAGAGAAAGTGGGTGGGAACGTTACCCCTTACTACTGTGACCATTAACCAGGGCCTGCGGGGATCGAGGGGCCCATCTGTCCCTGGGCACCCCTGGTTACTTGGGGAATGAATGAACCCTGGCACAGTGGCACCTCCATGGGACAGCAGGCGGAGAGAGGGGCGCAGCTGGCCCAAGGGCTCAGTGACCAGGTGGAGCTGTGGGGCTCCCAAGGCCCCCTGCTCTTAACTCCTGCACCCCTACGGCCTTCCTTCCTGAGGCCGGACCCTGGTCTGGTGGGAGGCGAGAAGGGACAAGGGAACAAGGACAATCCCAGGGCTGAGACGGCCCAGAAGGTGGCTGAGCCGTGGCTGGGTGGGATCTCAGGGTCTGGGAATGACCCCTCCGGATGCAGTGACCCATGCTCTCCCCCTTTGTCCCCTCCCCCCTCCCCACCATGGGTCAGCTCCCTGGTCCCAGCCTAGACATCTGGAACTGGGGCAGACAAAGGGCCGCGAGGAGGGACAATAACCTTCTGTCCATTTTCAGATGCGGGGCCGGGCCTGGCCAGGGCTGGGGGCCGGAGCCCCGGCGAGGCGGTGCCAGGCCCCCCGTGGGCAGCGGACAATGTTGGCAGTGATGGAGAGGAGGCATTTCAAAGTGTTTTGTTCCCGCTGACCCCCTCCCCGCCACGTCTCGACCCAGCTCGGGGTGAGGCCCCAGCCCCACCCCCAGCCACCCAGGCCCTTGCTCCGGGGCGGCTTGGGGACTGGCCACATTCTTGACCTCAGGGGAAAAGTTTAGACTCTTTGCGCCCCGGGCAACAATAACAGTGTCACAGGACTGATTTAGGGGCCGCACTTACCATCACAAAGCCGCAGACAAAGAGCCAGGCTGAGAACTCGCACCCGCCAGGAGCTCTGAGCCACCGCTCCCAGCTCCGCTCCCTCTCCCGGGCTCGGCCGGGCCTGGCGGGAGGGCTGGGTGCCAGGGCAGGGCCTGAACCCGGGGACCCGGGAGGGGGCCTGGAGGTGGGGAAGGAGTGAAGGAGGGGAGATGGGGGTCCAAATGGGAATGTGGGGGAGCCGAGGGCTGCTTCCTGCTCCACCAGCAGTTTGTTGGGCCACCCTAACAAGTTCCCCAGCCTGGGCCTCAGTTTCCCCATCGAATAAGGAGGCTGCACTGTGAGGCCAAGAGCTGGAGGCTCCGACCTTGCAGGCGGAGCGTGGATGGTGGAGGTGACGGTGGTGCTGTGATGAGTGTTTACTGCGTCCTTCTGAGCACCCCACAGGTGCCGGGCGCTGGGGCCGCTGGCCCTTTTCTGGCCTTCATCCCGTGCGGGGTTTTCTTTAACCCCCAGCCGAGGGTATTTTTTCCGTTGCTTTTCAGAGAGCGTGGAAGGGAGAGAGAGAGGAGCATGAATGTGAGAGACACGTCGCTCGGTGGCCTCCCGCACGCACCCAGCTGGGCCGGGGCTCGAACCTGCAACTGCGGTGTGTGCCCTTGGCCGGAACCGAACCCGGGGCCCTTCATCTGTGGGCTGATGCTCGAACCCCTGCGAACACCAGCCAGGGCTGCCTTCATCTTTTTTTTTTAATATATCTTTATTGATTTCAGAGAGAGGAAAGGAGATGGGGAGACAGAGATGGAAACATCAATGATGAGAGAGTCATTGATCGAGCCCACAACCCGGGCATGTGCCCTGACCGGGAATCGAACCCCAATCGCCTGGATCCTAGGTCGACGCTCAACCGCTGAGCCACGCCTGGCCGGGCTGGCTTGATCTTTTTAAAATTACGATGGGGGCCACTCACATGACAACTTCTCCCTCTCGCTCTCCCAGACCAGAGAAGGGCGATGGGCAATAGCGATGACCAGGGACAGTTGCCAGGGCCAGTTTCACCCTCAGGAGCGCCCCCTGCGCCCCCGCCTTGCGGTTCCCGGCGCGCTAGACACCCAGGGAAACTTGTCCAGTAACAAACCGCATAGAAATGGTTCCCCAAAGTCTAGTCTTTCACCCCCTTTTAACATTCAATTCTCGTCAGCCTCACACTCAGCGGGTATATTGTGAACCCCGTTTACAGCTGATGAGCGAGGCTCGGGGAAGTCGAGTCCCTCCTCCAGGCCCACTCGGCTGGGGGGCTGGGGGCTGGGGGCCCGGACCCGGGGGAGGCCGGCTCACTTCGGACGACACTGCAGCGGGAGGGAGAGAGGTGAAGAGGCAGCTGGACCCTGGCGACCGGGTGGGAGGGCCCCTTCTCCCAGCCAGAAGGCTATGAATAAATAAATGTCTGATCACCCCCAGGGGGAGTTCCACCCTTGGAGCAGGTGCCTTTAGAAAGGAGATTGATTCCTGTCTCTGGGCAGAGGTTGGCCTGGACAGACACCCAGATGTGGGGGGCTGGACACATGCCCTGTGGCGGAGACCTCTGGGGAATTAGACTCGCGGGGACGGAGAACGTTTAAGGACTCGGGGCTCCAGAGCCGGGCCATGGGTTCGAAAGCCAACTCGATTTTTCTCGGGAGTGTGTCCGTGGACCCGTTATCTCAACATTCCGTGCCTCAGTTTCCCAGCCTGTACCGTTGAACCCCCCGCGCAGGAGTGGTGAGCACCAGGGAGGAGCAGGGAGGCCTTAGACCAGCACCTGCCTCGCTGCGGGCCACCTGCTCTTACTCCCCAAGGTCCCCCCAGCCGGGTGCCACGGCCAGGACGCCTCAAGGTGGGTACCGCAAGGTGGCCCGGCCCGCGTGGCTCAGCGGTTGAGCGTCAACCTAGGATCCAGGAGATCACGGTTCGATTCCCGGTCAGGGCACAGGCCCAGGTTGCGGGCTCGATCCCCAGTCGGGGGCGTGCAGGAGGCAGCCGATCAATGACTCTCCCTCATCGATGTTTCTCTCTCGCTCCCTCTCCCTTCCTCTCTGACATCAATAAAAACATATTAAAAAAAGGTGGGCGCCGCGGGAACACGGTGGCAGACAGTCAGCCGCTGACCTTGCTTTGCGGGAAGTGGCTGGGCTCTGAGGGATTACAGGGCACGTGGGGGGGCCCTGCCCTTTGGGATCCGTAAGGCAGAGGCCAAGCACGGCTTCCCAGGGGCGGCTGAAGGGACTGCGGCCTCTCTGGTACCTGAGCAGGACGGCTT